TTGAATACCTACCGACTCTCAAATCCTGGAAGTTTAATAATTTGTTTCACCTTAAACCAATTGTCTATCATCAGTTAGTCCGTATTTTTTACTCTAATGTTGTTTGTGTCCAAAATGTGCGCCAAAGTGCTACTATAGGAATTAGATCATATCTTTTAGGATAATATATTTATATTGATTCTGAAACGATCGCTACTCACTTTGGACTAGATGACGATGGTTTATATAATGAGAAAGAGACCGTGGTATATCCATATCTTCCTAATGCTAGTATTAGTACTTTACGATCTCATCACGATCAATTTCTTTATTTGATGATCTCTTGGTGGTTTAGACCATCCAGAGGTAGGTACTCCACTCTCTGTGTCAGAGATTTATGGTGGATACATTGCATCCAACATAATAACAAGATAAATTTGCCACAAATCATTTTTAGTGAACTAGTAGATACCATAAATGTAGTCCCATCCAAACATGTAGAAACTTTAGTTTATGGGTATCTACTTAGTAATATTTTTATCAAACTCAGTCTTAGAGTTTCTCTTGACAATCTCATCCCTCTTCAAAACCAAATCAATCTCACTTCCTTAAAGAAAGTTGACTGGAAACAGGATAAGGAAACTGGACAATGGGTTTATCGACCAAATAAGCAAACTCCGGGAGCTAGTTCTTCATGAGTTGCTTCTGCACCTAGCTCTTCTTGGGCTCCTCCTCCTCCTCCGGCACCGACTGCTGACGATGATCCAGAGCTTTAACAGCTTATGCAAGATATTGACGATCACGTACCAAACAATGAGCCAGCACCAGAACCAGCACAGCAAGAGGACCAAATGCCTCCATATTTTTGATCATTTATGGAGTCATTTGATCTGAGGTTTGCCTCCATGGAATCTCAACTGATTGAGTTTCAACGGGAGATGCGTGAACATATGGATGCTCTCACTCTTGAAGTGCGAGCACATTATCCTCCTCCTCCCGACCCTCCGATGGAGTAGATCTTTACTTGCCATACTTTCTTGGTTTTAGAACTTGGATTGATAAATATTTTGCTGTTCTTGGATTGTTTTTATTTTGTATGATTATTTATTTGGATTTGTGTTTTGGAAGCTTGGACATTTGAACTTAATACATATTTGGTTTGTTTGAATTTTTATCTTAATTTCTGCATCATTTAGCATATGACCAATTTTTATCATTTCATATTTTTTATTATGAATATTGATGGAACTAATGGCTAATATCTCTTTTAATTGTGATCTTAGCAGCTTGAGCTTTCAATTTCAATCTTTATTTTCTTAAAATCTTTTTGATTTAACAAAAATGTGGAGAAGAAAAGATGTTATAGTAAGGGGGAGTAAATTTTCAAAAACATTGTTTAAAAAAATTATTTTTCAAAGAAAATCTTAAAAAAATTTCAAGTGTTTTGTTATATCAAAAATGAGGAGATTGTTGAAAACATTTTGATGTTTTGATATAACAAATTAAGTATAAATGACTTTTAAGATTTTCCAAATAATTTTCTAAGTATATTCGATTTAATTATTCAAATATCAAAATATTACTCCAAGTCTTTCAAAGATCTATTTCAATCCTTACTAAAGTGTAAAATTGTGTTTTAATCTTAAATGTTTTTGAAACAACTTTCACAAAGTATTTCGAACAAAAAACAAGCCAAAGATTCAATTTTTAAAGAATGTATCGATGCACTATGTCATGCATCGATGCACTCCTAATTAAATTGAATTTCGAATGCATTTAGTGTACCGATGCATAAGCCATGCATCGATGCACCTCAGCTATTTTCAAACATCGAATGCATTTTATGAATCGATGCACTCCAGGCTTGTTTGAAACATCGAATGCAATTTATGCATCGAAGCACCCTTAGTGCACCGATGCACTAAGTGTTCCAACGGTCGAAATATTTGAATTTTACACTTGATGCATCGATACACCTTGACTATGCATCGATGCACACACGCTTCCAACTGTTTTATTAATTGTTTTCACACACTAACGGCTCCATTAACTCCACTAATAATCCCCAACGTTCATAATCAATTGAATGAGTATTTAAACAAGCTTAGAAGCCATTGATCAACAAGAAGAAATAACAAGAAACAAGAATCAAGAGAGAATCAAAGAGAAAACATCAAACCTCAAGTTTGAGCAATATCAAGCCAAATTTCATTCAATATTCATCCTTGCTTTCAAGAACACTTATTGTGCTCAATTGCATTATTCTTGAGTGTTCTTTCTTTGTTCTAGAATTGTGCAAACATCTTTCCTTGTGAGGATTTTCTTGTAAGTTTGCAAAATTTGTATTGTTCTCTTTGGGAGAGAGTGTTCTCAAGAATTTGGGGTATAATTCTTGAGGGATTTGTAAGGTTACTCTTTTTCCTCAAAAGAAAGACAAATTAGTGAATTTGTGGAAAATCCTTAGTGTGGATAGCTAAGGTAGTGGACGTAGACTTTGGTTGAGAAAGTCGAACCACTCTAAATCGCTGTGCAAATATTTTCAATTTTCTGCAAAACCTTCCACCAAAATTTTTATTGCCAATTCACCCCCTCTTGGCCTATTCCATCGATCGATTAACTCAACAATTATAAACATGTTTCTTTATTTTTATTTTTCTTCAACCTAATTATTTTATCAAATTTGTCTCCCCCTTTTTTTTTTATTTTTTCTTGTTTAGCCAGTGACGACACCAATTTTAATATTAGTTGTCGACCGCCAATGATTATGATTATTATTTCTATTTTATTTTTTTATACTTTGTCATTTTTTTTTGAATTTATCCTTATGACACGCTTTTCTCTATTTTTGTGCACGTTTTTTCCTACTCTTATAGAACGTTCCTTTTGGTTTTTGGTACGTTATTCACATACCTATGTGGTTGTGTTGGTGCTCGTACAAAAACCCCACGACATTTGTTTTCTGATTGGTGACAAATGTCGTTTTACTGTCAAATAAATTCTTTATCTCAAAAGAAATAAAATAAAGTAGTATAGTGAAAAGAATAGTCGATCCACAAGGACTTGAAATGACTGATGTAGAAGCTTTTGATTTTGGTGTTAGGCGAAAAAGTAAGGTAAATAAGGGGGATTAATTGAAAGTGTGAGATAAAAGCACAATAAAATAACTTGGAAAATAAAAAATGTAGGAGAAAATTAATTTAATAAAAGAAGTCGCAGGCTTCGCTTTAGCTCAATTTCTTTCAATCATTGAATAAGATTTTTGTTTCAGATTCATGCCAGTTACAATCTACAATGCCAAACCCTATAACTTGTTTTTCTCTCTGATAAACCGACAATCTAAAATCAATATTTGAATTTTAGTCCTTTTAGACTAACCACGACTATCGTCGCTAGCGCCTACTCAGTTTAAAGATTTGGAAAAACTCGACTCGGACTATGTTACCTCAATGAAAATTGATTTCGATCTCAATTTCCCTTAGCAGGCCGCTGCTAAGTGTGTTTACAGGAAGTTGAATGTGCTACAAGCTGATCCTTCCTCCCAACTTTAAATCGAAACAACTAACAAGCTAACGAGCTCTTTTTAATTTGAAAGCGTTTTGATTTTTAAAGGAAATATCGATTGCCAATAAAATTTTGCAGAAAATTAATAATGCAACCCAAAGGATATTAAGTGATTTTCAATTCTCACGATCGAAATTGAGTCATTGCTTCAACCTTTGTCTTATGAGAAAATTAGCTAAGTAGCGTTTTAAAAAAAACTTAAAAGTAAAAATGTAAAAGAAAAAGAAAACATTTATAAGATAGAGAAAGCAAGAGAAAAAAATAATTTAAGAAATCTGAGATATGTTTGACTAAAGATAATTCTTGAAAATATTCAAATTAAATTCTAAAAGATAATTCCTAATTCGAATTTAAAAAATACGACTGAGTCATCAGTCCTTCTAGAAATGCTGACTAGACCTTCTAGAAACTGCTGACTAGACGTCACGCCAGACGTAGTAATGCCCCAAGTCATGCCCACTAATCCAGTCTTGACTCCAGAAAATAAAAAAAATGCAGGATTACGCCGTTTTAATATTGTTTCTGAAATCCAACATGTTGCACAACAAGTGAATAGAAAAGCCCAAATCAACAACAAAAATCGACGAACAAGGAGTAGTTAAAAATAAAATAGTACTAATTAAACCACTCATCAATTGATTTATCGGTGGTCACGTATTGTAAGATCACCTCTTTGATAAAATGTTATTTGCCGATATAATCAGAATTATTTTATGAAGATTACCAGATTTTTTTTATAGTGGACGTCATTCTCAATGGAAAATTTTCATTTTTCTTCGTTTCTTTAGGTTTAATATTTTTATTTTATGTATTAGTTTTTGTGTAACTATTGTTCCCATTTTTTTTCTCTTTATGTTTAGCTGTGTTGACATATTGTAATTTTGATTCATTCCATTAATTTTATTAATGAAAATCCAGTTGTCATTGTTCAAAAAAATTTATTATAAATCTAATATACTTTTATAATATTTGATCCGGATTAGTAGATTAAATAACAATAGATTAATAGATTAAATAACAATAAACACAGAAAAACAAGAAATTTTATAAGAATATATAATTATATAATCAATTCTATGATATTGAAACTTTTTAAGCTAAATTTTAAAAAATAAATATTAATTTTTTTATTAAATGTGTAATCTTATATATGTAATTTGATAACTTTTGTAAATTACGAAAGTCTTATTAACGTGTCATATTTTTACGTTTACATATTATATACACAAATAATTTGGGTGATACATGATGGACAAATAGCACATGCAATTTAACTTCATCTCCTACAAGTTTTTACTTGCATACTATGCTTCACAAAAACAAAGGAAAAACCATAAGAATGATATAACATGGTCCACCCAAATTCAACAATATCTACAACAATGGGGACATTCCTCAACCAAATGGAATTCATTTACCTGCAACAAACATGCTTAAATGGAATGACCAAAAGAAGTCAAGAACACAATCACAAACCCCAGAGGAATAAAAAAAATGATTGGACTCCTCCTATGTAGGAACAACAGCTTCAAACTGCTGCTTAGCCAAGTATCTTTCCCTTCTTTCTTTCTGCAAACCAAAACCGTATTAGGATCGAATGTTCGAAAACGTAGGGGAAAAAAGCATTTAACTTTAGTGTTGAATTCATCGAGTGCCTCACCCATTCATCTATAACGAGCCCTTCCCCAACGATTCGTGGTCCGGAGTCTTCTTGAGGCTTTTTGCGTGATTCGAGTGCAGCCTCAGCCTCGGCCAGTTGTCGTCTAAGTTTGTCCAGTGCCTTGGAAAAGGGGGCACACAATGGTCATTCGAAAATGGAATAAGCAAGACTAGAGATAAAGTAATCCAATATTATGTTGTGATTACTTACAGGACAAGTGCGTTCCGGGTCAAGAAAAACTACGAGAAGAATCTGCTCAACTGAAACCTGATCCTTTTGCTCATCAAACTGTGCAAATTGTTAGACGAAAAATTTTCAATACTCGTGTAGCATAGCTTGACATGAAATTTCATACTGTAAATGTACAATGTACGTAACCGAGCTCTTCCTACTAAAATCGAGAGAGTTGAGGTAAAATAGCAAAGCCTGCAGACTATACCAGTTCCGGGACATAATCCGTTTCTCCTTTCACTTTTAAGCTCAGAATCTTGAACTTAACCCTGCTCTTTTTTTCTATTGGCTTCTCATTATTCTCCGGAGCTTCGACGAACTTGAAAACTGCTTGTCAGGAAAACAACTCATTAAAGCCTTAATCATTACTATTCTGCCAGACTCGAAAGTGTAAGGAGTTAACTATGTCGATCAATTACCGGTTGCAATAAGACTTTCACCGGGTGCAAGTATACCTTCCGGAGGTCGCATGTAACAACTCTTTGGTGCAGTTGTTTGGAACTGTAGGATCCAAAAGGTCACTGGTTAGATGTTCTTAACCAACATAGAATCACTAGCAAAATGTTTTTACTACACCTCAGACATCGACATCAAACACGGTGTAACGAATAAAAATGAGTAAGGACTAAGGACATCATCTTCCACACCTTGAAAGCTACATGGGACTTGCTGGTGTTTTTAATGTCAATGGCACTCCTCACCTGTTTACCTGGTTCATCTGCAAAAATAGCACAAGCTCGTCGTCAAGCAAACTACATGAATGATAAATCACCGGAAAGTAAAAGGTTCCGATGAAGCACCCGAATTATATAATCAAAGTCATTTAACAAGCAAGTCTCAAGAACACAGCAACATGATAAATGATGAGACAGCTGAAGTCTCAATTGCAGCAATACCATCAAATTTTGATCAAATTTGTTAGTTACTAGAAACAACAATTGACCATTTCTACAAACGGTCAGGAAATAACTTACTAACGATTAGCAAATCACTTATCCACTCGAAATGCAATTCAAGGTAAGAAAGAATCTTACTTTTAGCAATTGAATAAAAGCCTTCCTCAATTAGCTATTAGCATTCACAAAATAACAAAATTACCCCGATGTTTGTATAAATGATCATTTTACCCGTATTCTTCTTTTTTTTAGAGCATTTCAGTCTCATAGTTCTAATTTTTGGTCAAAACAGTCCTTGTAGAAGGAACTGATTTACAACAAAAAGAACCCCTTTCAATGAAACTGACAAAATCATGCGAAGGAAATCAAATCCCAAGAGCCAAAAAAAGGGAAAAAGAAAACAAATCCCAGTTAAAGGTAAGAAAATAACAGCAGATTCTTACAAGGAAAATATAACTTGTTGGGAGGATCAAGCCTAAGTCTTCTTCGAGTAGGAAGCATAGATTTCGCCATAGAAAAAATTGAATTTGTAGAAGTGATAGTTGATCTTTCACCTAGCTGACTGCTTTGGGTCTGCTGCTGCTGGTAAACATTGTTGTTGCCCATCGACGATGAAGAAGATGAAGAAGAGCCATTGCCATTGCCACAATTCGTCTGCCAAAATTGCATTCCTAAAAGCTTTCTCTTCACCTTCAACCCTTGGATCTGTCTGTGTTTGTGGAGTTCAATGAATAGATTGAAAGCAAATGAAAAGTGGAAACAAGGGTGGGATTTTGTTCGTAAACGGAAAAGGTTGAACCAATTAATATTATACTATGTTTCTATATCAGTTATGGTGGTGTGCTTTGAATTGTCTGCGTCACTGTTGTTGAACAAATGCTTACAACGTATTTTTGGTTTGGGTAAATTAGAACGTTGTGATTCCGTTTTGATCACTCGTTATTGATAAATAAATAAAATTATTGATGTGATATTTTTTATTTATTTTTTCAATGACAATGTGACATTATCTTATAATAATATATCAATATAATCATTAATTCTTAACAACGGAAGATCAAAATATAATGTTAAATATGATTTAAAATATAATAATTGAGTGACCAAAACAAAATTACTAGAATATGTAGGTGACTAAATGCACAGTTTACCCTTTTGGTTTTACTATTTTTATTTGTTCGAGGCATAAGACATGAGAGGAGATGGTGAAGTGCTGCGTTTTGAATGAAATGTATTTGGAGGAATAACATAACAGGTAGATCCACATATATTCCCTCTTTCAAAATCAAATAATAAATAATAATATAAAAAGCAAAGCATCTTTCTTTTTTTGCTTCCCAATATCAAACCTGCTTTGACAGTCAATGATTCCCACCACAACACCTTGGATCATTGGGATTTTTTATTTTATTTTTATATAAATTTATTAATTTTATTAAAAGTAGAAAATAACTGTAAACTTTAAATATAATTATGATATTTTTTTATTATCATTAAGACAAAAACTAGCCACCTAGATCACATAAGGACCAAAGAATGGAAATGTTTAAAAACCAAACCAAAAAATTCGAATAAAATAAAGATACAAACAAATCTGACTGCGTCGGTAAACAAACCATAAAAGGGGATGAAGTTTTTGAAAGACCACCAACAAATCGTAAATCAGAGTTAAATGACTTATTAAAACTATTCATGAATGCAAAACACGTATCCAAATCAATTCGAGGGTCCAAAGCTAGGAAGATCATCATGATAAAAAATAAGCGTCATCTTGATTAGTCATGGCGATGTCAAATCTAACCCTGAAAAAAAATAAACAAAAACAACTACAAAAAACCGTAAACAACGGAAAAAATTGTAAGCTATAAAAGACAAAGAAAAAAATACCACAAACACAAAGATAAATGTGTTATAAAGACAGATAACATGTCATAAAGATATAATTATTCTTATTTAAAAACTAAGAAAACAAAGAAAAAAAGATAACCGACGGGTGACAACCAGCATTAAAACCAATGTCATCGCCAGTTAAACAAAATTAAAGAAGAAAAAATTAAATTAATCAATAAAATTAACACAAATTGTAAATAAGAGGAAAAAAAGAGAAAGAAGAATAAAGCATATGCATCATTGGAATTAAAGTTGCTACATCCAATGTTTTATTAAATACGGAGATAGTTCCGGCGCGACAGACTAAAAAACGACTAAAATAAGATGGTATCGGTTTTGTTATTGTTTTAAATAATAAAACGGATAAAATTTACCGAAAATATTATTAGGCGTTACCGGTTTTGTTATTATTGGGTGTTTTTACCGGATTTTCGAGAAAAAAAATACCGGAAACATTAATAGGCTTAAAAAATGACATGATTAACATAATATTTTAGGTAATTACCGAAAAAATTTAGGTAATTTTTACCGATTTTATTATTTAAACGATAACAAAATCGATAACGCCTTATTTTAGCCATTTTTAAGCCTGCCGCACGGTAAAACTTCCCATTAAATACTCATTATTTATAATTTTTATATCCAATGTCTTACAAATATCTTTAGAGCATATTGCTAAACTATAATTTTATTTATACTAATTTTTAAGATTTCAAAAAATTTATATCAATATTTAAATAATTCTCATTCTAAATTGATCTTTGAACTTTAAAATGTTTCATATCAATTCTCAAATTCTCAAATTCTCAATATTATTTTATTTTAATATTAAAAGAATAATATTTTTTTAATGTTCTGGAAATTAAATCAGTGATCTTCTAAAAAAAATTAACAATGTTTTTGAAGATCCTAAGAATTAAATTCATAACTTTTTTAAAAAAGAATAATTTATTTTTGAAGGTCCTGAGAAGTTTTTAGAATGTCTCAATTCTCAAGATCCTCAAAAATAGATTAATATTTATAATCGACAGAGTCAACTATATGTTAACATAAGGATCAAAATAGAATTATATTGATATCTTGAGAATCGGCATAAAATGTTATAAAAATTACGGACCAATTTAAAATACGGTTATAGTTTAGATATTGATATGAAACATTTAAAATTTTAATGGATAATTAAAAATATAGATTATAACATGAAGACCTATGCGCAATTATCTCATATTTTTATAAAAGAAACATAGTTTATTAATGATATTTTATAATAATTTTTAACCAATAACGGTAGATGCGAGCTAATATTTTCATATTATTATAATAAAAATGTTAGTGTAATGAGTGACAATCAGGTTTATTTTTAAGGCGTTGATCAAGCGATGCTTTCTATATATGTTGGCAATGGAACCTTTTTACTATTTACACTTAGGGCCGATCAAGGATTTTATCATTCCCTCTAGGAATATTTTTTTCCTGATTAATATACTCATGTTTGGATAGGCAATATTCTCAAGTGATGGTAATATATTAATACCAACAGTAAAATTGAGTGGGTTTATTCCTGGGAATGTTATTCCCACATGTGTCTTAGGTATATTTTTATTCCCGTACTTAAGGGCTAAAATGCCCATCTTTTCCCGTGAGCTTGCCTCTGCGATATCTTCTTCTCCCGTGAGCTTGCTTCTGTGAAAAATTCATTGTTTTCCCAGTGAGATTCTCCTGATAAGATTTCTTCTCCACTCCCTTTCATTTATTTTTCTTTCCCCAACTTGTTCCTTAAGGACTTCCATCCTTCTCACTTCTTGCATGGTCACACCCTGCCTTTTTCTATTCAAATTTTTATGTTCTTCTCATCTCTGTGTTTGACAATTGCAGAACATTGATTCTGGATTTGGAATTAACTTCATATTCATAACACAATAGATTTCAATCTTCCACCATTCAAGAAATTAACGGATCTTTCTTCATTTCTATATTTTCATTTTCTATGATTTTATCGGTTGATTGTATAGAATATGGTTAGGGACTCTTTTTCTTTTTTATTTTTATTCTAGGGTTTAGGGTTTAGTTTGTACAATTGGTGAAATGCAAGTTTGATTCAGTTGTTGTTCTTACCATTTTATTTGCATACGTGATAGTTTGCTGAATTTTTTCAGTTTTTGTTTTCCATATTGGTTTATTCAAACACCTGGAAGTCACATGGAAACTGGAGGATCGTTGGCACAGGAAATAAGAAAGCCAACGCTTACGCCAAAGGCTATTATACACCAAAAGTTTGGGAATAAAGCTTCTTATTCAGTAGAGGAAGTAGAGGAACCTACTCAAAATGGATGCCCAGGATTGGCAATCCTTCAGAAGGGGCCTTGCCTTTATCGATGTGCCTTGGAGATTCCTGATTTTACTGTTGTGTCTGAGTCCTTTAAGAAAAAGAAAGACGCTGAGCAGTCTGCTGCACAGATGGAAGGTTTACATCACCTTGCTCACCATACCGATTTCATTATAATTCTAGTTTGATAGGCATTTGAGTAGCTGCATTGTTTTTTTTATTGTGAGTTTTGATGATAGGTTGTGGAATATATAGTGAAACTCGATAGAGAAAAAACCTTCACTTTGCTATTTGGAACAGTTAAATAGGTATTCCTTGGTTGCTAGGGTCACAAGGTTGTAGCTTGAAAGCCATTAGTTTGAAGTAAGCTTTTCTTGGTGAAAAGTTTGATAATATTTTGAGTTAATTTCAGAACTTATATATATATATATATATATATTGCTTGAACTATAGTGAACTTTCTTACTTGGGCTCTTGTAGTTTAAAAGTGTACAATAAGGTGTTCAAACATAAGGCATGATTCTTATTATTTTGGAATTTTCTGATTTTTACTAACTCTTCCAGATGTATCTCAAAAGAAAATTGCAATTGATGCACCTTTTATGTTAGACCGTCTTTTTGTTAATTATGTCTAAACTTTCTGTTGCACGGATATTTAAAATTAATTAGGTTAATACCATTTTCTATTTGTAGCCATGTAAATGATTGTTACCAGATGCAATATCATGTTGTTGATGTTTTTTTCTTCTTTTGTCTGAATATTTTCCTTCAGGTCTGAATCCTTTTATATTTAAAATTAATTAGGCTAATGTCGTTATCTGTTTGTAACTGTGTAAATGGTTGTTAGTGGATGCAATATCCTGTTGTTGGTTTTGTTTTTTCGTTCTTTTTTCGGAGTATGTTCCTTCAAGTCTGAATTCTTTTTGGAGTCTTTTGAACATTGATGCTGACCTTCCTGACCTTACCATTGAACTCTTTATTCATTAGAGGTTTCTATTATATTGTCATCATATTAAGCTTTGATATATTATTTTCTTTCTTTAATAATAGTACTTTAGATTTCTCCTTCATCCTAATCTAGTTTTGCTTTCATTTTCAAATAAATATCTCAAAACTTTTTCCTGGTAATGCAAGGATTTGTTACCACTCAAGTTTGACTTTGCACTGTGGAAGCTTGTAACCAAATTTCCTGCAAGGAACATAGGAACTTGTTTGAGTATCTCAATTTAACTTCCATGGCTTTTGGAGTTGACATTTAACTCGTACACATATAACTCTACACTTTTGCACAATCTCATAAATAGTTAATTGTTAAGCTATTTTTAAGAGTGCTAATGTTAAGGTACAATGTCATCGTATTGTATGCATTACAATTTTGAGACCCTTGTTCTGTATCTTTGAGTTTATAATAACTTTGGGATATATAAGTCTATATGTGGATGTAACATGTTATCTTTTTCTTTTCAGGAATGAATAATGTGAACTGAAGAGTAATCTTTTTTTTTTCTGTTTGCATAAAACTTAAATTAAACATAAAAAGT